TTCAATTCCTGGATATCCTTGTTAACTTTCTGTCTCGTTGATCTGTCTAATGTTGACAGTGGGATGTTGAAGTCTCCCATTATTATTGTATGGGAATCAAATAATTATTAATAGTATTTTTAGCCTTGCAGCTACATATGGTCTCTATGTATTTGTCATTGCCTTTTTGTTTTTTTAAACAAATGTTTAAAAATGTAAATGTTCTCTGTGTCCTTCACCATGTTTTCATGCTTTGTGATAGTGGCTGAAGTTTAGAGACTTGTTTTAATAAACAATGTTCTGAAATGTTGATCTAATTGCCTCTGGCAAAAGATGTGTAATCATGACTTTTGATGAACTTATTTTAAAAATAGATGCACAGGCCGGGCGCGGTGGCTTAAGCCTGTAATCCCAGCACTTTGGGAGGCCGAGACGGGCGGATCACGAGGTCAGGAGATCGAGACCATCCTGGCTAACACGGTGAAACCCCGTCTCTACTAAAAAAATACAAAAAAACTAGCCGGGCGAGGTGGTGGGCGCCTGTAGTCCCAGCTACTCGGGAGGCTGAGGCAGGAGAATGGCGTGAACCCGGGAGGCGGAGCTTGCAGTGAGCTGAGATCCATCCAGCCACTGCACTCCAGCCTGGGCGACAGAGCGAGACTCCGTCTCAAAAAAAAAACAAAAAAACAAAACAAAACAAAAAATAGATGCACAGTTGATCTCTTATTGCACGCATTTTGGCAAATTCATGAAAGATATTCTCTATAAACATGACACTTGCAAAACCTACCATACCCTGAAAGTTTGCTGTCTAGAAATTAGTGCCTAGTTTTCATTCACATTAATATTTAGGTAAGACATGTTTTATTTCTAAATAGACTGTCAAACTTTTTTCATATTTTGATGTGTAATAGTGATGACCTTTTTAAAAAGACTCAGTGTAATTCGTTTTCTCATTTAAGCCATTAACTGCCCCCTTTGAATAGTATTGTTGCTGCTTTCTCTTGTAAATTGATGATGTCTCAGGGTCTCAATTTACAATTACATTAGTTTCTTCCTTGAGTTTGTAGTTGAGCTGTGGCTCTGCACTCTTTGGGCCTGTACAGGCATCCTTCACAAGTCCCCGGCAGGTGGCCTTTAGCAGGCTCAAAGGTGGCCTTTAAGCCATTCTTAGTGTCACTGTGAAAACCATCCAGATTTTCCCCCAAAAAGGCCAAGTAGTTGCATGATGTGTTGTGGATTTTAGGGATATATTTTGCCTATTTCACATACTTTTTTCCAAGAAGATAGGTGAGCTTACACATTTAAAGGTTTGAACTGTTTTTCTTCTGTTTATAATTTTATTTGAGATGGTGTCTCGCTTGTCACTCAGTTTGGAGTGCAGTGCAATGGTGTGATCACGGCTCACTGTGGCCTCAAACTCCCAGGTTTAAGCCATCCTCCCACCTCAGCCTTCTAAGTAGCTGACACTACGGATGTATGCCTCCACACCCAGTTATTTTTTTTTTGATTTTTTGAAGAGACAGGATTTTGCCGTGGCTGCCTAGCTGGTCTCAAACTCCTGGGCTTAAGTGATCTGCCTGCCTCAGCCTCACAAAGTGTTGAGTGGCGTGAGCCACCGCACCCGGCCTTTTTATAATTTTAATAATAATCTGTCAAATAATCCTTCATTACTTTTGCTTTCTAAATTCTTGTTATATTTTACTAAACAATGCTTAATCTCGCTGATAAACCATTTTAGCAGAAGGGTGTCTGATGAGTACCACCCCTCCCACCCCAGCTTTATTTTTTTCTTTTATCAAAGTTACAAGGTCTCCCTCTGTTCACCAGGCTGGAGTGTAGTGGTGTGATTATATCTGACTGCAGCCTCAATTTCCTGGGCTCAAGAGATCCTCTCACCTCAACCTCCCCAGTAGCTGGGACCACAAACATGCACCACTATGCCCAGCTAATTTTTTTTTTTTTTTTTAAGTAAAGACAAGGTCTCATTATGTTGCCCAGGCTGGTCTCAAACTCCTAGTGTCATTTAATTTCTGTTTTGGTATCGGCTCTGAAAGACCTGTTGAGAAGGTACTTGGAACTCTTGATATTTTCCAAAATCTGTTTTACTAAGATAAATTTTAAGGAGAGCAACAGAAAATAAAGCACAAAGGTGGTTTTTTTGGTTGTTTATTTATTTATTTATTTTTGAGACGGAGTTTCACTCTTGTCGCCCAGGCTGGAGTGCAGTGGTGCGATCTCGGCACGCCGCAACCTCCCCCTTGTCCCGGGTTCAGGTGATTCTCCTGTCTCAGCCTCCCAAGTAGCTGGGATTACAGGCGCCCATCACCACACCCGGCTAATTTTTGTATTTTTAGTAGAGACGGGGTTTCACTATGTTGGCCAGGCTGGTCTTGAACTCCTGACCTCAGGTGATCCACCTGCCTTGGCCTCCCAGTGTGCTGGGATTACAGGCATGAGCCACCGCGTGGTTTTTAATCAATATTGTTTAATAATGAATTGGATTAAGAGAGGTGGGTTTTTTTACTCAACAGAAAGTTGATTGGGTTTTTTAAAAATAGCTTCTCTTGTTTTCAATAATTAAGGCTTAAAAAATCTCTAAGAGTTCTCTTTGAGATACTTGGATTCTATAAAAATGAAACGCTTTGTTTCTTAACCAAATGATAATTCCTTAAATTGCATTATTTGGTTCAATTATAGTGAATTTCCTGGTAGAAATTTTATTTTCTCTGAAGCAGAGTCAGTCATCTTAATATCACCATGTCAACCAGAAAAGAAGGAAATCTAATATGCATAATAAAGAGAGAACACTGACACATGACTTCTTTAAAAGTCTCTGAAATTCAACATATAATTTTTTATACCAGAATGTGAAGAAAAATTTAATCTTTTCCTCTTCATCTATGTCTCATGATGTATTTGTGTGATTTTAAAGAACATTTTGGGGTTTTTTTAGTTCTATGTAAATGTGACCATGTTATCTGTATAATCTTGCCATCCCTTCTTTGGAAAACATGGGTCACTGTTAAAGTATGTCATGGATGCCGATGTGGAGTCTGAGTAAGCCTAGTGGGCACGAGGGTGTGTGTGGACGTGGGCGCGTGCGTGTATTTGTTCGTTTCTAATCGAGCCATTCTTCTAGAGTCTTTAGGTCAGCTGTCACGTTGGGCTTTCCTCCTTTGTTCTTTTGAGTTGCTCTATGACTAGCCACAGACCTAACACTAAAAAGGAAGGCTTTTAACGGATTAATTCCGTCCTTTCCTTCGCCTACATTGTAGCAGCTGCGTTCTGCCCTTTCCGTGGCCCTGCAAGGAGAGGAGGCCTGTGTATAACAGTCTTCTGTCAACATCCATTATAAGATTCCTAAAGCACATGGAATGAGATAGTTCCCAGGAAAACTCTTTGTCAAGGCCAGTCCATGTGGGAAAAATATTTCTGTGCTTAGTCTTATAACGATGACTTTTTGTTTTATGGGGTCAGGAGAAATTTGACTTATAAGACAGCATTGTGCTATGCCTCCATACTTAACCTGCCCTTTCTTTCTGAACTCTTGCAGGTAGCAGCAGTACCTGTCCAAAGATCGCTTTAATTCCGCCTTGCTCCATAAGCAGCACAACCACACTGGTTGGTGAGAATGTATCTGAAGAAGAGGCTCAGGGAATAAATGGGAACAGGCCAGCGAAACACTCAGCTGCCAGTCCAAAGCCACAAGGTATGCTCATTGAGGGTTTGTGATCAGGGTGGGTACTTCGTTGATCAAAGAAGGCTAACCAGAAAAACGATGGCCACAAAGAAAGTGTTTTAAGCTAGAAGGAAGCAATTGGGTACATTACTTTTTAGAGAAGAGTCCATGTGTGCATCTTCTCAGGCAGAGGTTGCTATTTGCTCTGCTCCTGAAACAACATACATTTCTCTATTATGGATCTTTTCATGTCGCTGAAATTCTTTGCATGTCATCTTAACGGAACTGTGATCTCTTTATGATGCCTGACCTAGCACAGGGACTTACTGTCTGTGTAATAAATGTGTTTGGAGCTACTGTTAGAAAGAAATGATTTGCTAGATGTCAGCATTTGTGAAACATAATTCTAAAACAGCACTTCATGTACTTATCAAGAACATGACTTGAAAATATTAAGGAGGTGGGGCCTGAAAACACCTGATAGTATTTTTATACTTCCACTTTCTGTGGAGGTATTGTTTCTTCCACAGAAAGGAACAGTAACAGCCCTTCATTCAGGATTCTGTGGCCAGTGAGGGTAAAGAAAAAGCCATAATGGTAGGAAGCTTGAATGATTTTTTTCAGTGACCATTTCCTTTTACAAATAAATTTCCAGTGAACTTGGTATTAACTTTGAGAAGCAAAAAATTACAGTTTTGATGATAGAGAGCAAGGCCTTTTGAAATGGAACACAAAAGCTAAGCTACCCTGTGGTTTAATGTGTAGTTTCTTCCTTATAGATTTTCATTTATAATGAATGCTAAACAGATATGAGAAACAATACTGGGCATTGTCAGAGTTACTACAGTTGGGAAAAATCAATTTCTACTTTTGCATATTTTGTGTTTACTTAGGTCTCTTTCCTGTTCTTGCAAAGAAAAATGTATTCTAGGCATACATTATAAAATAAGTGGTGTTATTCCTTAAAGTTGTATGTTTTAAGGATTTCTGAAAAAAAAGTTTAGAACAAGTTTAAAATGAATCTTCTAGATTATGGGATATTTGTCTTGTTCTCCCTACAGTTATATTTGTGGTGATATGGAATATCACTATCAAGCAAGGTCAGATAATTGATGATTCGGATGAGTAGCCTATTCATGATCTTACAACCATTTCTTTTGACTACACTGCTCCCTTATAGCATTGATGTGAATATAAGCATATGACTTTTTTTGATCATGATTTGAGCCTTTTTATTCCCAAAATATGAAATTCCATTTCACCCATTAGACCCGAGTTGACAAAGATCCAGTGTGAGGTAAGAATATTAATAATGAATACAATTCTAGTTGATGTAGTTTTCCTGATCAAAGGAAGAATTTCATTACTTAAAAAGCCTTTATTTTTGAAGATGCACCGCAATACTTCATTGTTTTCCAAAGTCAGTGTATTGATAAGAGTGTCCTTCCTGAGCTGCATGTGCCAAAATAATCCCCTTTTTAAGCAGACAACACTAACCTTGCTTTTGCTGTTTTGTGGTTATATTAAAACCTCTGTATAGTTATTTAAATACATATTTACTTCCTATCTTAAATATGGGCTCATTATGTATATATACTTTTCTAACTAAAGGGAATATTTGCAGATATTAAACAAATCACAGAGTACTTTCTACTTCTTTTTCAAAATACGTTCAAGTGGTGTTTGGCCTTTCCCTGATACCCATGGCTCAAGTTTTAACCCCACCTTTCACCCTGTCCTTTTATATTTCCCTATGCTGTAGTCTGTTCAGGCTCCTGTAACAAAATACCATAAATTGGGTAGCTTATAAACAACGGAAATGTAGTTCTTACAGTTCTGTGGTATGAAAGTTCAAGATCAGATTCAGGGTCTGATGAGGGCTTGCTTTCTGGTCCACAGATGGGTCCAAGATCAGATTCAGGGTGTAATGAGGGCCTGCTTTCTGGTCTGTAGATGGCCATCTTTTCACTATAACCTCACAGGGTGGAAGGGGTGAGAGCTCCTTCTGGGGCTTCTTTTCAATAGCACTAATTCGATTAATGAGAGCTCAGTCCTCATGACCTAATCACCTCCCAAAGGCCCCACCTCTTCATATTGTCACCTTGGGAATGAGGATGTCAACATGTATTTTGGGACACAAACAAACACTCAGACCATAGCACTCCATACAAACTTTATTTTTTCTCATTCTTTACAACCTGAACTGCTGTATATTTTACTCATCAGCTCAGTTTTTTCTGCCTATGTGTCCGCTCACATAGTACATAACCAGTCTTCAATAATACTGCTATACCCCTTTGTTTCTGCTATTGTTTAAAACTTTGAACATGTGCCATGTAGCGACCAACGTCCCTGAAATGAAGCTACATCTTAGTATTGTCAGATGAGCTGCTACATAGATTGGTCAGTAATTCAATCAACAGTACCCAATAATGAGTGTTTGTTTAGTGGAGAGAGCTAATTTTAATTTCTCCTAACATTTGGGTGACTGAGGCAGAGAAGAGAAGGGGGTGCTAATAGGGACCTACTGCGTGGAGCAAGGAATTATCACCCTGACACCTTTGTTCCTGCCTCACTGCAAATCCCTTACAAGTTGTGAATGGTGAGGTTGCTGGGGCTTTAAGGTCACTGTGTGGGGTCCTAACAAGGGAAGGGGAGTCAGGCTGGCAGGAGCAGGGGAAAGCAGAAACAAAAAGCAGATAAACTGTTAAGTCTGCCTTTCTTCCTGGTCCAGGGCACGTAGCCCTCCTGTGCAAATAACTCACAATCTTCCTGCACTGACTTATCACCAGACACGTGGCTGATAGAAAAATGGAAATTAGCTCACTGCAACCTTGGCATCATCGGTACTGCATGTAGCCCTCTCCAGCACCATGCTGTAAAATCCCCAGGAAACCTTTGTCTCTTTGTAGTCAACTCCTCTCTTGCTGATCTGCCTGTTGCTTTCTTGCAGTGTATTTTCATATTTTGTCTAATAAATATGCCTTTCTCTACCTACCTGTCTTGGTGAATTCCTTTACTGCCCATGCCACCAGCCCCGGATAGTTGCTACGCACAACACTATGTTGTTTTAGTTTAATTTAGGACTCTTATTCTAGGTGAGTAGTTCTCAAGCAGAGACAGTTTTGCCCACACTTGCATATCCTCTCCCGACAATAGGACATTGGTAGTGTCTGGGGACATTTCTGCTTGACACTGCTTGTAGGAGTTGCTACTTGCAGCCAGTGAGTAGAGGGTAAAGTTGCTCTATATCCTGCAATGCACGGGACAGTCCACAACTAAGAATTCATACAAACTATAATATCAGTTGCTGCATTTGCAAAACTCTGATCTAGATAAAAATAAGCACATAGTTATATCTTTTTTTTCCTTATGTAGATTGCTAAGAAGATTATAGTTATAATTTATTGTGGGATTTTTTTTTTTTTTTTTTTTTTGAGAGAGAGATGGTTTTGTTCTGTCACCCAGGCTGGAGTGCAGTGGTGCAATCTCGGCTCACTGCAGCCTCCGCCTCGCAGGTTTAAGTGATTCTCCTGCCTCAGCCTCCCCAGTTGCTGGACTACAGGCATGCACCACAACGCCCAGCTAATTTTTGTATTTTTTGGTAGAGATCGGGTTTTACCATGTTGGCAAGACTGGTCTCGAACTCCTCACCTCAGGTGATCTGCCTGCCTTGGCCTCCCAAAGTGCTGGGATTACAGGCATGAGCCACCATGCCCGGCCTATTGTGATAATTTTAAAAGGGGAAAGTATTGCACATCTTTATTAGTGGCGATTATGTAGTAATGTCTCTGGAACAATATATGGTTTATGTTTATTAATTACCAGTAAGTAAATATTTTTGAAGAATTATTTGTAGGTTTTTAAAAGGTGAATGAGCTAAGTTTTATTTTAAACCTGAAAAAGGAATGACCAGAATGGCAGCCCTTTGCATGGTGTTTCAAAATCAGCAGAAAGAAAGATAAATTTTAGATTAGAGATTGGATAAACTTGCATTTGGATCCAAATTGAAATACGTAGATTTCGAAATGGATTTGTTTCATAATTAGAGCTTGTTTTGCCTTAGCCTCAGAAAATACCCTAAGGCCTTGGAAACAATGGCTTATTCACTTCATACCAATCCTAATAGTCAAACAAATTACTGAGCAACCTCCAGCATAAGTCTTTCTTCTTGTTCACCACTTTTAATACTGGCCTGTTTCCTACCATGCTAGACCGTGACTCAAAATAACTCCTTTAGTAATTAAAGTTAATAGTTCTTTTTCTCTTAACAGCTTTTATCCAGAACATCCTCTGTAATTCCTGATTATTTTTATAAAGTGCAAATTGTCACATAATGTCTCAATCATTAAATGCTTTAAAGAGCCACATTGTTGTTTGAGTAACTTACATAAATATAGAGTACTTAAACCTATTCATTAGCTTCTAAAGTAAAAGTCTATGTATAATGATCCATTCTTTTAAAAGTGTAATATTATAATGCATTTATACATAGCCAGCTTTTGTTGTTTCTGTTTTTAAAAAGAAGAGTAATTGAAGACTACTGACTTAAACTGGCAATTAGTTTCCTTTCATTCTAGATAATCACTTTGAATAATCAATTTTTTTTCCTATTTACATCTGTAAATTTGGGTGTAATAAAACCCAACTTATTTATAGTCTAATAGAGATCTCAGACTTTACATGTATGAAACTGAACTGCTATTCTCCTCTCCAAAAATTGCTTTGCCTGCTATGTCACTTGACCACCATTCCATCCTTCTGGCAGTTGAGACCCAAGGCTTCAGAGTCATCCTTGCCTCCTCTCTCTTTCTCTAATATGTCTCACTTAATCTTATCAGGAAATCTACTTTAAAAATATACCTAGAATCCAAGTATTTCTCACTGCCTTTTCCTAAGCACTGTGATCTCTTGCCTGAATTTCTACAATATCCGCTTAATTGTCCACCCTGCTTCTCCCCTGTTCCTCCTCTACATTCTGAACACAGCTCCCAGAGTGATCCTGCTGAAAGTTAAGTTATATCATGTTA